GTTACATAGCCTCTCGTAGATAAGTACAGACGTCTCCGTACCGATCAACGAGACTCTAATAAACCGGCTTGTGATTCATGACTCCTATGAACCTAGAGCTCTAATACCAACTTGTCACGACCCCAGTTCGCCCTCCGTGAACTATCGTGACGGCACCTAGTCTCCACGACTAGGTAAGCCTAACAAATGCGGAAAAAGAAACAATTTGCGGAAAGAAAATAATATAACACCGAAATAACAAAATGAAATAGTGTTTAAGATGCCGCCTGGCATATAACAGTACAAGAATCTCAACCTAACACTTCCCAAAATCCGGAACCCCATGAATCACAAGCTAAGGGATACATAAGAAGCTCTAACTCCAGAAATGTCTAACAAAAGGAAAATACTGAAGGGCTATACTATTACAGAAAGATAGAAAGGGACTCCACGGTCTGCGGACGCGGCAGATATATTCTCTACAGAAGCGCCTCGCCTCAAGGATAATAAGACTGAGTGGAAGTACCTGGATCTGCACATGAAAAACATGCGCAGAAAGGGCATGAGTATACCACAGCAGTACTCAGTAAGTGCCAAGACTACCCTCGGTCGGGTAGTGATGAGGAAAGTCAGGGCCCTACTCAGATTAAATGAAATCTAAGGTATAACAGTGTAGAATAAGATAGTATAATTAAGTGCAACAGTAAGAAATAACAAAGAATAGAAAGAACAACATCAACGATAACAGAGACAAAATAATCACGGAAAGGAATACAACTCAACACAGAGATAACAACCGGGGATCTCCCAGGATACCGTCCTGTAGTCCCCAATATAAATATCCAGTGGATCTCCCGAGTGCAGTCCCGTAGTCTAACTCATAATGCGCGGGGATCTACCGAAAATCCGATCCGTAGTCCCAAATATAAATATCTAGTACAGGAGGGAATCTACCGGGTGCAGTCTCGTAGTTCCAAAGTAAATGTGCAGGGGGATCTACCGGAATACAAATCTGTAGTCCCAAAGTAAATATGCAGGGGGATCTACCGGGATACCATCTCGTAGTCCCAAAGTAAACACACAACAACAACACGAAGAAATACACAATTCAATTCAAATTCCATACTAAGGTAAAACAGGTACTTCTAGCCTAGCATGTTGCACATAATCCAAATAAGGCAGTTTGGGCAAGTAAAGCAATTAAGTCAATTAGACATGCTTCCCTAAGCTAACAACAGGCTTAAATTGCAAGTAGTATAAACAGGAAAAAGAAACACAATTAAAATTACTTAAAGAAAATCGGATTTTCAACAATTAGCACAAGTACGCACTCGTCACGTCACGTTCAAGGCATTTCAAATATCACTAATACCAAATCCTAAGGGGAGTTTCCCCCACACAAGGTTAGGCAAGCCACTTACCTCGAACCGACTCAAAATCAATCTGAAACTACGTTCTTGCCACGAGTACTCGACTTCAAATGGCCCAAATCTATTCAATTCAATTGCATAATGTAAATAACACTTCAAGTAACTGATTCTACAAATAAATTCTAAGCTAATACGCGAAATTAGGTAAAATGACTAAAACGCCCCTCGGGCCCATGTCTCGGAATCGGGTAAAATTTACATTTGCAGAATCCTCATACTCTCACAAATCTATACATATCAAGAACACTGAAATCGGAGTTTAATTGACCCCTCAAATACTCATTTTAAGGTCTCTTAATCTCAAGCCCTAATTACCTCCAAGTGATTCCCCTTTGGTTTCCTCAAAAATCTCCCTCAAAAGCTTCAACCCCGTTCAAAAATGGTGGAAAAATGAAGAAGGGTCGCGGATTGGCTATTTAAATACTGCCCAGATATTAACCATATGCGATCGCAGAAATACCTATGCGATCGCATAAGACAATTCCGCACAACAATGCGATCGCGACCAGCTCTATGCGATCGCATAGAGCAAATTCGATCACCTCACTGCCACTCCAAGTCCTTCTACGTTAACGTAAAGGTCTCCACGCGAACGCAGTGACCAAGATGCTCACCCTACGCGATCGCACTCCTACCTTCGCGGTCGCAATTCACAAAATCCGCCTGGCCTCAACTTACTCTACGCGATCGCGGATGAACTCCCGCGATCGCAATGAACAAACCACTGCGGCTAAAACACCAGAAAACCAGCAATCTCCCAAAGACCAAAAGTGCCGGTTTGAGCATCCGAAATACACCCGAGGCCCCCGGGACCTCAACCAAACCTACTAACATATCCCATAACATCATTCAAACTTCTTCCAACCTTCGGAACACTCAAAACAACATCAAAACACCAATTTAGCATCGGATCCAAGCCTAAGAACTTCAAAAACTCTCAAAATACGCTTTCGATCAAAAAGTCTATCAAACCTCGTCCGAATGACCTGAAATTTTGCACACACGTCACATTCAACACTACGGAGCTACTCCAACTCCCGGAATTCCATTCCGACCCTCGGGTCAAAATCTCACTATCGAACCGGAAACATAAAAAATTCAACTTTCGGCATATCAAGCCTAAATTAGCTACGGACCTCCAAGACAAAATCCGAACACGCTCCTAAACCCGAAATCAGCCAACGAAGCTAACGGAACCATTGGAATTCCATTCCGAGGCCGTCTTCACACTGTTCTGACTACGGTCAAATTTCCAAAACTTAAGCTCTCATTTAGGGACTAAGTGTCCCAAAACTCTCCGAAACTCAAAACCAAACATCCCGGCAAATCAAAATAGCAGAAATAAATACGGGGAAAACAGTTAATAGGGGATCAGGGCATTAATTCTTAAAACGACTGGCCGGGTCGTTACACCTTTGTCTCTTGGGGGCCTAAAGAAGCTTTAGAGCCCGTTTGGCCAAGCTACCGAAATCTGCTTATTTTTAAAAAGTACTTTTTTTCAGAAGTACTTTTTTCGGAAGTACTTTTGAAAAAAATAGTTTGTGTTTGGCCAATTCATGTAAGAAGTACTTTTTGCAACATTTGATAAATAAATTGTATTTGGCCAATCTTTGTAAAAAGTGCTTTTGAGTGTCAAATTACCAAGAAGGATACAACCGAGGTCTTATAATTATTTTAAAAAGAAAAATGAACTTAAATATTTATTGTAAGAGACTTTTATTATTTTTTATTTTACTTAATTAAAATATAAATAAAGTAAACAAACATAATAAATATTTAACTCAATTTTACGCATATAGTTATACCAATGTATATAATTTATCTAGTATAATTACTTATTATTACACAATGATTTGAATAATCAAAATACATCATTTCTTATGAATTAGAAGTCTATTCCACCAATTACTATATATTGATAATCCACCATGAAATAATAAGTAAAGTCACTCACACATGATAATATTTTTCAACAATTTCATCTCTGCTTCTATCACACAACGGCTCCATGTTAGTAGAAGGTTTGCCTTGCATTTCTAAAAGGAATATCAGAAGGCCCATCTCCTTCCTCAATCTTTGCAGTAATGTCTTCATTAGCATAATAGTTAAATTCCTTATCCGTAGAAGAATATCGTCGGATAAAATTATATAGCCATGGTAGTTGTAACTAGGTGATTCTAAGTGACAAACTTGAAATATGGCATTGAGCGTAAAATAAAAATAATTTTAAAGAGTAACTAATTATTAGCAACACATAATGTATAATTTTAATTTTTTTTAAATTTAAATTAGGAACTAATTATTACCTAACCTAACCAACTTTGTCATAAATTGCCTAGCGGCCTATTGTGAGACTGCCACTTGGCTTAATGTGGATGTTTTTTCTTCATCTTTTAATAATATATAGATAGATTATCCGGCGAAACTGTAATTTATTACCTATTTGTAGGTGTTTTCACAAATTAGATTTGATAACTATTTTAAAGATTCGTGAACTAATAGCCTATAACAGAAGAAATTATAAATGATTATTTGTAGGAAGAGAATTGATAATCCAAAGAAAGAGGTATATAATTTGCTTTAGTGTGAAGAAAGAAGAAGATTATTTGAAAAGTTACAAGACATTACACCAAAAAAAAAAAAAAATCAAAAACAAGAAAAGTCAATAAAGAATTTGGAAAGTTACAATATGATTCATGTATATGATATCTTTAAATTTAAGAGAATGATAAAATCCAAAAACAAATATGAAAAAAAACTTAAATTAGTAAGGGATAATTTGAAAATATAAATTTTAAGGTAAGAATAGTTTTATCTTGAATAAATTAATTTCTGCTTCTGTTTCTGCTTATGCTTATGCTTCTTGAAAGAAGCTAGAATTTTCTGCTTCTTCCCAAAAGCAGAAAACTGCTTCTGCTACAGGCCAAAAGTACTTCTTTATCATGGCCAACAGCTTAAATTTTTTAAAAAGTACTTTGGGGGGGGG